CTCACACACTCCGGCAAGGGCCGAGCGGCGCCCGGGGGCAGCTCCTTCAGGCCCCGAGTTCCCGGCACTGAAGAGGGGCAGGGGCAGGGGCAAGGGCTGGGCAGTCTCCCTCCCCCTGCCGCTGGCGGAGCCCGGCTGAGGTACTCGCATGAGGCCGGCGCTGCCGCGGGAGGCGGGCGCCAGCCCCACGCAGGACAGCGCCCGTGGGCGGCGAGCTCTGCTTCTCCGAGGAGTCTCCGCCGGGCTCTGCCCTGGGAGGTCTCCTCCGAGGTGCGCTCGGGAGGGTTATCGCCCTTCTCCCCCCACCCAGGCACCGCGTGTAGGCTCATAACGACGCAGGCTCTCTTTAACACGCCTAAGCTGGTTTTATTTTCTTTTTTATGAACAAACGACACTGCCCCTCCGCTAACTATGCATTTAAGTGACAGCATTATGTATCATGTACACACATCCACACACGTATATATTTTAGAGTTTTAAAAAACACCATAGGTGCAAAATATTTTATGGGAAAAATAACGTTTGTCCCTGGACATTATTAACAGTACGGTTTGAAATATACATTTTTTTTTTGCTTTAAAGAAAAGGGAATCATTATCAAGCCATTACGCATTAAGAAATGTCATTCAGTCATTTTTATTCATTCTGCTGAAATCTTCGTAAAAGCCAGAATCATACTTCTGCAAGCAGCAATTTTGTTAATCCAGGGGGGTTATTACTCTGGTCCCTTATTAGGATCTATACTACTGCCAAGCAATCCTATAACCTTCTCAAAAGAAGTTTACCTCCGTGTTATAAAACCAGTAGTGGTATTTATACTGTGCAATAATTAGTGTATTACTTGAATCCACTAACAGGTTCATTTTATCTCTGCACAAAACCTCTAGTCTGCTTATAGAAAGCTTGTGCCTCCTTTGGTGCTGTTAAAGTGGTGAAAGAGTGAATGAAGGCTGGTAGCACTTTCTCCTTTTGCCTTGCCTTAATTCCCATCTCTTTTTGCTCTCATCCAATTAGTGCAGTGTATTAAGCGGTTTATCATCTCATAGTCAGCTATTGAGAGAAACAAGGCGAACACTTTGCAATAGAGCCTGCTCTCCTTTGACACCCTCAGGTACTTACATATTCCACTGTGCTATGAATAATAGAGGAAGAATAGAGCACTAATTCCCTCATCAAAGAATGCCTTGTCTGCTGCTTTGCTCAACAACACCATTCTGATCAAAAGAAAAGCAATAAAGCTTAGCATAACAAAACGAAACCTACTTATTAGCTTAGTGGTTAAATTAATGCAGAGCCGCTGCTATTCAAAACCAAGGTTTGAAAACAGCCTCCAACAACCTGATAATGCTGCCTTCGGGATGAAGGAATTTTAATCTGAAATTTGAAGCTGGCACAGATGAGTTAATCTATTAAACTGCTATAAGGAGAGTTCACCACGAACTGTTCAATTAAGGAATATTTAAGGTGCTCTGTAGAAGAGCAAAATAATGCAGAAGGGAAGATGGGCTGAAGTTGCAAATGAGAAAAGTGTATTTTGCACTGAAAAGGGAATGCTGGCACAGGACCAAATGGGTTTGTGGTTTGGAACTGTTTTTAATAAAACACATATGCCGTCAGTGAAGTCTGCCTTCTGAGTTGATATATCAACACTCCTCTCCCCAACAAAAAGCAGTATTTGGGAAGGGGTTGGGGGGGGCGAAAGAGGCGGAGGGGAAGATTCAGACTAGATCAGTTTCACAATACAAGTCTGTGAACTTCAATCGTTCCCAAATTATGTACAGCACTAAATTAACTAAATCCATTTAATATTAAATTCTATATAGATGACTTTGCATTTCCCAGCCTTCCTCAGGGGGCCAAGATGAGGCAAAGCGCCCAGGGCTTATTAGTCAGGAGAAAAGCAGCTTGCTCCTTGCCAAGAGCACAGCTCTGATCTAGGACCAGCCTTCTGGGAAGAAGCAGAAATTGCCTTAATTCGGGAAAAGCATTCATTTCCGATTTCCCATCTGATTGGGGCTGGCTAAAAATTACTGTAGAGGGAAGGTTCCAAGATTTTCTTTCTTGTATATCATGAAAACAGAGCTTCATCCTGCTTTTATGCAAGGCAGAAGGAGAACTTTTACTGGAGTCCTAAAATATATCGTTACACCCTGTACAATTATTTCAGAACACCCCTGTTTAATCTAAAAGCTCCTTAATTTACCAAGTTTATTCTAAAATAGCAATTATGCAGTTGTATACAAAAGCCTCTATAGGGTCAAGTTAGGCATCATTTAACCATTTTGTTTGGCTATCTGCCTTACATTTCTAGAAGCGTCAGCCGTTTTACTTTTTAAATTTCCATTCAGTAATATCAGTAAAGACTACACAATTATCATTTGAATGGATATACTGGACATTCAAAAAACATCTCTGACTGATAAAACTCTCCAACACATTTAGATAGCAAGACCTACTTTCAAATCAGTACATCTGAGAAAGTATCTTTTGCAATGAGCTATGCTGAAGTGTAGCCTTAGCAGCATTACATGAGGTGCCCGTAGGCAACACTAACCCAAAATAAATAAATGATGAAAAGCAGATTCTCAATTATTTAAAAAACTACCCATGTGAGTAAAAAGCTTAGATTTAGCTCCATGTCAGAAAATGAGTTTATATTTAGATGAGCTGGCGCACACATTCATCATCTATCGCTATCTGCATTTAGCATTGTTGTCCCAGAGTGCTGTAGAGTTTTATAAACAAATACATATATAAATGGTATATAAATGATACATATATAAATACATATATACATGGTATACACAACACAAGCCCTCTTGCTCCTTGCGCCCTGTAATCCCTCAGCATTTGCGCTGTTATTCTTATCATTTTATGCCTACAAGTGTTTTCCTTAGTTTCCACTGAACCAACATGCATTTTAAAGCAGAGATATAAGCCCTTCTGTTAAATGCTGTAATAATTTAGAAGCATACACTTCAAGGTTAGATCTGGTATGTACAGATGATAGAGTCCAATTCTTTTTCATTAGAAAACTTTATTTTTCTTTCAAGTATTACAAAAGTTTACACTGGCTATGGTTACATGTTTTTAAAAGAGTCTCATAGTCTTACATGAACAAATACTGACATCACAAACCTAAGAATGTTATATAAAAGTACAACTTTAATTTTACTCCCACATGAAAGAAGAAACCATATTTATTATATTTTTTTTGTTTCTTATTTTACTGTCATTGAACAGACAATGCAATTGCTTATAAAACCAATAAAACTTCAATCTGACCACAGTACTTATTACAAAGCAGTACTTACCCTTGCTCCCCCCTCGTCCTGCAACCCCTGTTTCTAAGCTGCATTTGCTGGAACCCTGTAGGCACATTTGTTTTCAATGACAGTTTACATCAACCTTTTTTCTTTGTGGAATAAAGTTAGATCTGCATTTACTGCGTGGGGTTCTAGCTGGAGTCAACTCCATAGTATACCTATCTTAAGAATAGCAAGACAACACTTGTCTGTGTGTTAAATTTAACACAGAGAGGACTATTGTCTAATTTTTGTTAACTGTAGGTTATAAAACTGTCACTGCTTGCTCATTACTTTATATATAGAAATCTTAGTAGTAAAGACCACCCTAACCCCTGCTCAGAAGAAAGTATTAGGACATTAGGAGGCATTTAGGTTTAGCATTGTTTTTAATTGGTATGTTTATGATTCAGAAGTAGATAAACTGTGAAAAGGCAAAACATTAGTGCTCCTACTGAGACCTCTACTAACCTCTCTTCCTGAGAGCACCTCTACTAAATACCCTGGAGCAAAGTCTAGGATCACTTACATTCCAGCAACTCTCACTGGGAATTATTCAATTAAAGCAGCGCTCCTTCCACCCCCTTTTCTCTCATAGGTCTAAATATACAATAAAATATATGTATTGAAAAAGCAACTACCAGGTGTCTAGGAAATCACTATATTCTGTTTTTATCTTCACTTTTTTCTCCACTGAGTGGGCAAAATACACATGTATTTGATGAATGGTGAAATCAAAATTGTATTATTTTAAATGGGAAGAATAAAGAGAAAGAAGAGGGTATTGATTGTACTTATTATTTTAACAAAACCAAACCTTTCTCCCTCTTTATTTACTTCATTATTGTCTTTCATTACTGGCATCTCCCACAGATTTTCCTATGCAGATGGTCTGAAAGAGTTTGCCGAGGTTCACTTCAGAGTAGCTACTCATGGACAGAAAGGTGTCTACTGTGTTCTTCAGCTTTTTGTAGACCTCCTTTATTTTCTTTAAGGCCAAGTTCTTCTCCGCCCACACTGAAGGAAAAATAAATGAGAGAACATATACACACATTAGATGATCACCAAGAAAAATATTTTATGTTACCTGGTATTACAAACTTTAACACAAAACCAAAATTTGCTCCAATACCCTCAGACTTGTGATTTGCTTCTCATTTTTCACCTATCCTTCTCAGCAAGATTAAGAGTGAAGGCCAACTTGTAACTCTGAGACCAAATCCTGTTCATCAAAGCCCATCTGCTATTCTTGCAACTGAATTGGCACAGGAACTCCTGTGAGTAAATAATATGAGGCACTGCTTGTCCAGTAACCTGCTTAAGTGAGAGTCAAGTGGAGATTCAACCAATACCAGTACCAGTGCTCATTCAGAAATGTTTATTTGAAGAAATTAGAATTTCACCTCACAGATGAAGTAGCAGAGTCTAGTGACTGGAACTGGAGACAGGAGAGTCACTTTTTTTTGGACCTCCTAAACCTCTGTTATAAAACTCTTAAAAACAAATGGTGAAAGGTCAAACATTTGTGGCCATTGCAGGGACTGAATTTGAAATACTTGTCAGCAACAAAAATACTCTATCACCAGAGATTGAGCACCCCCACCCATGTCCATCATGGGATTACAAATATAAGAGCACCTGTCCATCTTCCACCTTGCAGAATGCCCTCTCGCAGTGTCACACAGTGGTCCACATTTTGTTGCAATGTAAAGGGTCCAAAATAGAGCCAGATATCTATGGGGATTTTGTCATCAATTTCAATGACGCCACAATCTAACACTTAGTTCCTATTCCTTACTTATACACCACATATCTGGAATACCTTGGGCAGGTCAAAGTGTTCCCACATTTTCTCACTGACAGAATGGAGATAATACTTATACTAAAGTACTTTGAGACCCTTGACTGAAGGAAAGGAACTTAGTACAGACTAACAACATAGAACTGCCCACCATCCTGCCTCTACCCTACAATATACAGAACAAGATTCTCCTGAGGTACCAGTGAATATGGCCATTCCAATGTGCTTGTTTCATATGCTTGTGAAGAGACCCCTGAAGGATGAAACAAACAACAAAAAAGGCAATTTGAACATTGTATGAATTTGTTGGCAAAGATGATATCAGATTTACCCAAAGAACCTTGTCTGCCTTGGCAAAGTCAAGATGCTTTATTTGTTTAATTTAATTCTACAACACCATAGAAGAATAAATGGTGTTGGATTCTTGGATATGCATGCCTTTACTAAAAATGAAAATGTAACCCAACTAAGTGTTAAAACCACCAGAGCCTCGTGGAAAGAGTAACTCAGTGAAGAAAGATCAAGTCTAACAATACTTCCCTTTCCAAAACAACATTTGATTCCAACTACGTCCTCTCTATTAAAAAAACCCAGGTAGATTCAAAAGGCCTTGTAGCATGTTCAGAAGGGCGGCAGATTCAGACTAGTTTGGATTAGTGGATACAGAGAAAGGAAATAATTTCCACAACTGAAGGTCCTTTCCAGAGAACACGTCCTCAGTTTTTGGCAGGGATAAACGGGGTGGGAAGATAAGGGGAGTTTCAGCTGAAGCATCACTGCTGATGGAAACTTTTTTGGCAGTACAACACAGGGAGACAGGCAATCTCTCAGGTGTGAGCAGCTCTCAATCCATTTAGGTATTACTGAAAGCATGCATCTCGCAAGCATCCCACATAGTGTTTCTATTACACATCAATATTGCCCTGCAACAGCTGTTCCATCTCACTCCTGACTGTCCTTTAGAAGAGTTTCAGCACTGTACTGAGCATTTCACTGCACTAATTCTCTTGGAAAAATACAATAAAGTAAATATCCAACATAAAAATAAACAACAGCTATTACCTTTTAAACAACAGTTATTGCTACATTTCACATTTGTTAAAAATAAATCATCTTCAAGGGCAGTACATTCGTTCCTAGATGCACAGCAGTTACAAATTTGGAGGGACCTCTGGCAACTTTCAGTCCACTTGTATGGGGGAAGAAAACAAGAGGCTTCTACCCCTGCAGCACATTACCTAAAGACATTCCACTGATTTAGCTTGTTTCCTATCCAAGTGACTAAATGACTCATGTAGTGTGTGAAGCCTTGGGAAAGACCTTGAGAAACTGCTGCCCCCCGCCCTGAATTCTAAAAAGAAGCTATAACACATCCATGTCTTCTACAGATTTTTTTTCAAGATAGACTCAGCCTAATCACTGGATAAAATATATATCTAACCTCATGCATTGTTGACAATTTTCTTGATCCATATCTTTAGATTTTCACATTTATGTTTTCAACCTGTTACATTTTTCTTCTTTTCCAAATGATCATGATAGTTAAAATAAGTATATATCTCAGTTTAGAGTTCTTCTGTAAGTACTTTACAAATAAGTCTAATGAAGACAGCTTTAAGCCTGTAAAGAGTTACCATCATGCTTAATTTTAGGCACATATCTATTTAAAGTCATACATTCATGGACATTTTGAGCAATCTCAGGATCATGACCTACACTGAATTACTTTTTGTTACCACTCAGCTAATAATAACATTACTTTTTATTACTGGCCTTAAAAGAACTTAAAATTTACCATAAAGAGATGGAAAACTCTGTTTAGAAATTTAATTACATTGGAATCATTATAGCACCTAGAAACTAATTATATCTAAGGCCTAATTAAAAATAAACTACTACAAACTGTAGCAACTCAGTACATTATTCCCTCCCAATGTGCTCCCCACCCCAAAAATATTTCAGAAACACTAAGTAGCCTGTAATTTACTAAAACACATCATATATTAATGTGGCTTTTTTGCAGCTAGGGGAATTTTTGCTGAAAGCACCAAACTATGTGTGTTCAAATTCAAAGTTCAAAGCTAGGCTAAAATTGTTTTAAAGCTTCAAAGAGCTCAGGAGGGACCAAGGTGAAGTGTATCCATGTACAGAGCCAGCTGGTACGTATGAAAAGAACAGGAGGATGCATTAATCATGAGAACAACCAGACAAACAATAAAACAATGTTTAAGCAGCAAATGAAAATACAGCCATATATATAACTCAAAATCAGTCTCAACTCATTCCACTGGTAGAAATTCTAGTTTTTGTTCCCAAGACCTAAACATTCATTGTTCACAGTAACCATTCCGAAAATTTCCATTAAATGCATTACAAAGAAATTTAGATGGAATTATTTATGTAAAGGGAAAAGTGGACTGAGGAAGGAGAAGTAATAGGAGCTACAATGAAGATTAATGGAGGTAATTCAGAGTCTTAATCCTAAAATATTTGAAATACAATGTTATACTACTAAATTCAGACTGCAGTCCTATCTGCAGTACAGCAATACCATGCATTTGAATGACACAAGTGCATCTGATAACTGGGGAGAACAGATTTAAAGAACTGTAGTAATACAGAGCAGGGGAAGATGAGAGAGGACACAGCTCCTGATGTGTTTACCTCCTCTGCTGATGGGATATTGACTTTTCCCACCAGGTTGGTTAGAAAGGGGACTATTTACGCTGCCACACAGCAGAGTAAGAATGACAACCAGCATCACTCTGTGCTCCTCTTAGTAAAAGACAACTGTGACCGCTGTATATCACACAGCTAGTCAATACCTTCAAGTTACCATACCATCTAACTTAAAGATGCATATAAAAGCTCACACTTTCTTTCTAAATGAGAATTTAATCAATAATGCACCTTTTCAGAACAAAGCTATAAAAAACAGACTGCAATTGCTTTTCAGCACTCAGTAACACATATGAAAATAGTTTTATATGTATTACTACCATACTGTTGTTTTATATATCTGCATACAATGGAAAGTATTCATTTCACTGTTGTTGGAACCGGTGAATATTTAATATAAACATAAATGTACAGAATAATCAGCACTGTATCATAACTGGGATTAGATTTAAACAGTTTGTATCTTAAAATACATAGTCTAAAAATAAACATGAGCATGTAATTCTGATCTTGCAAAATGACATTTGGGTATTACGTTCTCTAAAGCAAATTAATTACTAACTCTTGGTAAATATTTTAGAATCTCTTCACCAAATACATAGGGAAAATCTCACTTAAGCCCTTCCGAAAATATAAACTGAATTTTTATTGATATACACTACACATTCAACACCATACAGAATTTCCCATACACACTTCTTATGTGTATGTTTTTATTCTGAAAGAAGAAATTATTTTCTTTTCACAGAGGTACTTGAAACTTATTTACCCCACACTGTTGTATTGATGGCTGAGGCAAAGATGGAAAACGGCTGGGGATTACTTAGTATCTTGTTAGGTATTTACTATTCAGTATCCCTTACTACCATCCCTATAAAATGCTATAAGCATAACCTGATAGTGAGGACCAAAGGTACTTTTGTTCTTGTCTTCAAGAAGATGTAGCACAATGAAAGGCTTCAAGACTTTATTTCTACTGATTTGAGAATGGGAGTCTTCCACAGTATCTTTATTAGGAGACAATTTCTCACTCTGAGTGTTCTTTCTGACAACCTGAGCTTGATAGTGCAAAATAAAAATACACTTACATTCCTGTGTGTACGTGCATGTGCTTATATTTTATACATGAGAAATAAAGCATTTCCATTAATAAATTTTCAAACTGTTGATTTGTCTAAAAGCAAACAAAACCAAGCATAGTCTGTCACTCTTATGTGTTAAGGATTCAGTGAATCACACATGTACGATGTCATGTCTCTCTAATACTTTTAGTTGAACACTTAAAGAACATTTTAAATTAGAAACCATTAGGAACTGAAATTTTTACATCACCTACTGGTTATTGTATTTTAATTATAGCAAACTTAGGCACACAGGCAGCAGTCTCTGTTCCAAATATCTGTGTTTCATTTACTTCTGTGCAAAGGTAGCAAACAACAGTCAGTCATAATTGATTCTGTCAGATGTTATACAGTCAGTCATAATTGTCTCTGTCTAGAGGTGTGTCAAATTACTGCAAGTTAAATAAATATTCTGT